ACCTCGAGAGACCCTCGTTCGTCTGCGACAGTACTTCAACACTGTGCGACACTCAGAGGTACTTCAGAACTTACAGTTCTTTTCATTTTCATCTTTGATTTGCTCTGTATATTCTCAATTTCTGATTGGTTTATGCATTTGTCATCCGCAGATTACATGGCAGCCTTGGGCGCCCCTGGGTGATGATCTCCGACTTCAGTATACCGGAGCATCGGACATCTCCCAGTATAGGGTCCTACTCGAAGGGCCGGTTGGCAGGGCCTGGTTCCTGGGGGAGCGCTTTCTGTGCCAGGTACGGGGGTATCTTTCTCAGGATGTTCCCGCAGTACCTCCAGCTAGTATGCGGATCGCTGACAGGCTTTCTTACTCAGAGGTAGTCGGCGCCATGCTGGGCAGTGATGCCTTGCTATATGTTGCGGAGGGGGACTACGCCACTTACCGTCACATATATTTGATGCCTCCCTTGACAGAAGCTCGTATTCCGATGATGAGACCTGCAGGTATGTCATCCTCGGACCAGGCTCGGGCTCGAGCTACAGACATCCCTTCTTCTAGCGGGGTTGGCACATCTAGAGGTGGGAGTAGACCGTTTCCTCCGACTCCGTCGATTCATCCTCATCTGGGATGGCCAGATATGCCTACTGAGTTGATGGCGTGGCAGTATGGGGCTAGCTCTCCGACTCCGATCCCACTAGAGCCTCCCATGCCCAGTGATCGATATGCCATTGATCCGGACTCACCGCCGGTATGCTCCACTTTTCATTGATCATTCAGATGTTTAGACACTCTTCTGTTCACTGATGATTATGAGCTCATTTTTGCAGCCATCGCGAGGATAGATGGAGGAGGTGGTTGGACTGGTAGCCACACTCGAGGGCATGGTCCTACGCAGGGAGGCACAGTTATCCGTCGCGGGCATTCAGGTACCCTTCAGTTTTCTGGCATTTATCATACTTCTGATGACATGCTGATTTCTATTGCATCGATAGACCATTTGTGTAGAGCACATCTGACACACACCTCACTTGTACACTGTATTTACATGCACCCACTTCATGTAGCCTTTGCTTGTATCTGTATTTGATGTACATATTTGGACTGATGTATTTGATTTAAACTCTTTGTTTTCAGATGCCTTCATGGTCCGGTCAGCCGCAGGCCAGGCCACCTGGGCCTCATTGGGGGGCTGGGCCATCTGAGCCTTTTCAGGGGGCGGGGTCATCTCGGCCTTCCCGAGGAGCCGGGCCATCTAGGCCTTTTCGAGGGACTCGAGGGGGGCCCGTCCGCAGACACAGGGCTCACGTTGTGGAGGCGGAGC